ACAGTATAACCCCTGATCAGTGACGAAGGCCGTCTTCTCCTGATCTTTCGTCCATAAGGGAATTTGATGGAAACCAGAATAGGCGTCCATGAAACTCATCAAGGCATGGCCGGCTGTTGAGTCGACCAGGTTATCAATTTTAGGCAGAGGGTAACTGTCTTTGGGGCACGCCTTGTTTAAGTCTGTGTAGTCTACACACATTCGCCAGGTGCCATTCGGCTTTTTAACAAGCACCACATTTGCAACCCAGTCTGGGAAGTAACATTGCCGAATGAACCCTGCATCAAGTATTTTTTAACTTCGGCGGCTGCCGCCTGACTTCTTTCTTCGCCATGGTTCCGCTTCTTTTGCCGTACCGGCTTCTTTTTTGGATCCACGGCGAGTTTATGTACCGCCAGATCAGGACTAATGCCTGGCATTTCATGGACTTCAAATGCAAAGATGTCCTTGTATTCTTTCAATAGGTTGTGAAAGTCGTCACCAAGGTTTCTCAGAGCAGTCGTCCCAACTTTGACTGTTCGGTCAGGACGTGAGTCGTCTAAGATCAGGTCCGCATGCTCACCAGCCGGCTGAGGGCGGAACTCATCCGGCCGCTCCTCTGCCAATGATTGCTATTTTCTTGCTTTTCTTGCGGACTCTGTCTGGGACACCTTTCTCTTTTTGCCGCCTGCTTCTTGAACAGGCGCACTCTCCTTGACATTGTCAAGGTCTGTTTTTTCTCCACTTGACCCAGTGGCCATAACAGTGGGCTTGACATCCGAGAGATATCACTCTCGGGCCATCCTCTGATTTCCCCTTAGGGAGCCGACTGTTCCATTATCCCTCTCAAACTTGAGCAACATAAGAGACGGGATTATAACAGCCTTGGAATTATTCAGGGTTGGTCGACCCAGAATCATGTTGTAGGCCGAGAGTTCCTCTACTACTAGGAACCGGACTACCATGTGTCGTCCTTCCCCTTTTTCGCCCAGGCGAATGGGTAAATCTACTCGTCCCAGTGGGTGGACGACTCCTCCTCCAAACCCTACTAATGGGTGGGAGGCGGGATGTATGCAGTCAGTCTGATATTTCAGTTTCGACAGACATTTGCTGCTGATGAGATCTGAGGAGCTCCCGGTATCTATGAGGATTCGGCCAACTCTCTGGTTGGCCACTTTACATTCAATAACGAGAGGGTCGTCATGCAGCCCCCTTACCCCTCCTAGATCCTCTTCAGTGATGACAATCTCAGGAAATGTATATTTGGACGGCCGTCCTTGGTGAACGGAATTTACATCTAACCGCCTTAAATTATCTTTGTTGCCCCTAATAGTGGGGCCGCCTCCTGAGAAGCCGCCTGCAATGGTGTAGACGACTGCATCATCTGTATCGGAGCTGTCGGCCTGTTGATTCTTTTTGGCCGACAGCTTTTTTGAGGAAGTGTTCCCCGTAGATTTCTTGACATAAGTGTCAAGATCACCTTGCTCAGCCAGGCGGTCTAGGTACCGCATGAGACTGATGCAGTCATTGGTGTGATGACCAACGTCATCATGATAAGCACAGATTTTATCTTGGTTCCGGTTGTTTGCAGAACCCTTCATGGGGACCGGCTTCTCAATTGAGATCCGTCCCTTGATTTCTTTTAGGATAAACTGGTTATCCTTGTTAAACGCATACTTTGGGGAGTATGGTTTGAATTCTTTTTTCTTTTTCTGGGCCGGCTGTTTAGAGGAATCAGCCGCCCAGACCTCTTTTCTTTTCTCATCTTTGTTTGACGACTGTTTCTGTCGTCCTTCTCTTTTGTCGAACCTTTTCCCGTCCGACTGTTTTATCGTACACAGATCAGTCGCCTGTATATAGGCTTCTGCTTCAATCAAGGCCTCTTGAAGAGTCGCCACCCTTTTTCGAACCAAATCAAATTTGAAGGTAGACCCGTCTTTGAGACCTCTAAAAAAGTCGGTATAAGCTACCTCATCCGGTAACCCTTGAATCTGTATTCTCATCAGGTTAAACCGCCTGATGTAAGAACGAAGCCCCTCCTTCTCGCCCTGCTGAATTGTTCCCAAATCAAGGGTCGTTTTCTTCGTAGGGATGTTCATGGCGAAGTTGGAGGCAAATAAGTAAGCAAGCGTCCTGAAGCTATTTACACAACCAGTCGGCAGGTTGCCGAACCATTGCTGTGCGATTCCTTTGAGAGTCGCTGGGAAACACTTGCACCAAGTGGGATCATCCAACCCTTGAAGGTACATCAGGTTGGTGAATGCCATCAGATGGTCTTCTGGGTTAGTAGTGCCGTCATAGGCGCCTACTAGTACATTTTTCACTTTGGCCGGCTGAGCGGCTTCAGTAATTTCCTTGGAGAAGGCCGACGGCTGTTCACCAAGTCTAAGCAACCGTAGCTGTCAGTCCATAGGTTGGACGTTTTTTGTTGTAGGTCCACCAAATGGAGGTGGCTGCATAAAATACTGTTGTTGCGGCACAAATGGTAAGTTTGGTACCGCCTGGGCACTATGAAAGCCGGACTGACGGGAGGTGCCGCCTGACTGACTCTCATGGTACGACTGAGTATGCCTCATCGAGGCATTTCGCAAACTGTCTTGAAAGTTTGAAGTAGAAGCCGACTCTGACAATCGGTCACTCTTCTTCTGCTCTAGCAGTAGCCGAGCATCTGTGAATGTTTGCTTTGACCCGTCCGCCTGAATATGACGAACCGGTTTCCTATTTCCTGTAGGATAACGGAATTTTGTGAAATCAAGGGCAGGTGGCTCCCGCTTCCTTGATTTAGGATGAGGAGTCGCCTCTCGCCCTTGAACTGGCTTCCTCTTCAGTGAAGTGGAGGGTTTCTTGGCCGACTGCTCCTTGACTGAAGCAGGCGGCTTCTTGTTGATCAACTCTTGAATCTCTCCCTTGAAGTCCCTCATGAAGGTCATGAGTTCGTTCCTTGTGATGGGAGCAGACCCATCAGTCGGCTGTTGCCGAACAGGCGGTGCGCCTGCTGGCTCGCTTCCTGTTTGAAGATGCTCCCGTTCCCTCCTTTCGGTATGACGGGTACGTCGAGCCCTTAGGGTCCCGTCTGAAGCTGTATGAGTTTCAACTTCAAATTCACTTTCGGTGTCATGGTCCGACTGAACTTGAGGGTCGTCTAGGGGACGCCTCTCCTCAGGAGTCGGTACAGACTTGGATGCCATCTCTGAAGTACTCTCCCCACAGACGGCGCCAAATGTTTCGGGGTTTTCTGATGTCCTGTGGGAGAGTTACAATTCCGAGACTGGAACCGGACGCCTGTACCTGCAAAATAACGGAGACTCCTGTGAGCTCCGCCTCCAACGGTCAAGTTAGTACCTGATTAAGGAGTAATTAATGCGGAAATTAAAGTAATAAGGTCTCTCTAGGTGAGAGTGTTTAATGTAGGTAATCTGCTTTGTTAGCGAGATCAGCCGGTTATTAGTGTGTTCCGTAATGTTTCTGTCCTCCTCTTAATGAGGATTAAGGGAGGTATTTATAACCTTGGGAAACGTGCCCATCCTAGGTTTAGGTAAACCTAGGGCCGATTGGGCTTCCCTCGGAAGTTGGGCCTGGGTGACCGGTTTCTCCATTAGGCATGGAGTATGCCACATGTCGTGACATAACAGGTCCAAGGTGGACGAATAAGCGCGTGCCACGTGGCAAGCCCTGACAGTTCCAACTAGGGGACACTTGGCAGGTCCTGATTGGCCCACGTGGCGCATTCCGATTGGTAGGAGCAAAATCACCTAATCACTACCTATGTTAATTATTATGTGCAACTTTGGATATTATTTGTGAGATATAAAAAATATTTCAAAGTTGCACATAGTAATTAACAGAGGTAGTACAATTATTAAACATTATATTACTTATAATCAACAACTCAAAAATACTTAGGGAGGCCAGGCCCTTGCCTGCCCAAACAAAGATCCGCCCCTGAATATCAATATTATCTTTAAAAGCATTATATATGAAGTGTTTGTAAATTAAATTGAAATAATTTTGATAAGATTTTACATGATTACCTGTCAAATTGATACAATTCTTTTTTCTTCTCCTCACTTACTATTTATGGGGGTCAAACAAGAAAAACTTTGTCCAACTAATGCGAATTAGCTACATATACACTTACATACAAAATAAAAATTATCACGTGGGATCTTGTTATACTCTTTTCAATGTGTGGTATCCAAATATTAAATTTTCATAATCTACATTAGTGCATGATAAAGACATAATTAATCAAATATGTGCGATGGAGATCGAACAAAATTCAAGTGATTAAATTAAATGTGACAAATAAATAAAAAAGTGGAGAGGGGGGAAGTAGCTCTTATATACCTGATATAAAGTACATAAAGGATCAAATTATGCTTCTCGTAAAAAGTTAAGGGTCTAACCAATTGCAACCGCATGGGATTAAGGATCCCCTTACCTTGTCCTTTGCTCCCAAGTACAAGTTGGGCCCTAACTAGGTTGAACGCACCTTGCATAGTAGAGCTTAAGCCCGTTATTTATCTACAAAGAAGAAAAGGTAAATCGTAAATAAATGTATTATTTGTCAAATTTAAACCTCAGAGATATAGCTTATAAAAAAAATATAAATAAATAAATATTTATATAATTAAATAAATAGTTCCAATTTACCGCTGTTATAGAAACAAAGGAAAAGAGAGAAATGATGAAAAGTACCAAAGGTTGCTTTATTTATTTTTTGGATTGAACCTAAGCTTCATGTAGTGAGGTAAGCTAGGGTAAATGATTTTTTTTCTTTGGTTCCTTGATCAACTTTAATTAATAGAAACAAAAGTAGGAAGATTAATACGGAAATACCCTAACCTATAAAAAGTAGAAAGAAATTAAAAAAGAAATATTTTTAGCCTCGTTCACAATAATTTCTTTGAGTATTTGGGAAAAGAAACGATAACGACATGGATTGGATTGATCATAGTTTCTATAATTTGAATTCTATAACGAAGGCATTTAAATCCTGAAAAATGATTTGTGGGTTCCAGAACAATCTCGTTCTGTCAAGTTCACACAAATGATCACGTTGCATCTGTCTATTCTTACTAAAGGTTATTCTTTTCATTTTGAAATGATAAGTTTTAATTTATGAAAGTACATTTTATTAACAAATAAAACTAGTTAAAGTTCAGCAAATTCATGTGAAAGTTTAAAGAGCAGAGTTTAGAAACCCTATTATTAAATCGATATAGAAAAAACTTAATTTCCTAAGACAACGGGACAACCATGAAATATTTTTTAACATCATTAATCGAAAATCAGTAATTAGTAAGAGATTAGATTATATATGAAATGAATGGACCAAAAATTTCTCATTTCATTTGTAACTAAGTAATTGTACAAGGTATTACAAACTAAGAAAGAAGAAAAGAATGAACTAACCAAAACCCCAAAAATAGAAGTTGAAAAAAAAAAAGCCTCTTCATCCCAAAAGTATACAAAAATGCCCAAATATAGTAAGGTTTCAAAATTTTTGGGCTTCTTGCTCCTGGAGAGGGCTCCCCCCTTCTTTGCTACTCACTAATTCCTATCTTTTCTTTTTTTCATATTTACATAATATATATTTTTTTTTATATTATTCACACTCAAAAAAAAAAAATATTTTTCATCACTTTTTTTTTTGTTTTTTTAATTTTTTTGATTTGATTAGAAAGTGGAGATACACCTCCTATGACGTGGAGCAGTAAGTTTTTTTTGCCTAGTTTCTTCTTTCCAAACTTTGCCAATATCTTGTGCAATTTTTATAGCATCAAAAGAAGCACCAGCTAATCCTCTTCTTGTAAATCCAACTGCATATAATCCACTCTTTCCTTTCCATGCACTTGGAAATGGTGTCTTTGGAAATCCATTTTTGTTAAAAAATTCACCTTCCTGTAAAAAATAAACCAATAATATGGTTAATAAATTTATCCATCACAAATATTCAATATAATTTAAAAAATAAACAGAGTAAAAACAGAGGAACTATTATCTAACCTGAAGCCAAGAAGGTACATTGCTACGATATCCGGTAGCTAGAATGACTGAATCAACATCTAATGTTTGGCCGTCGACGAGTTGGACACCATTGGCGTAGAAACTCTTGATTCCAGGAACAACCTTGATGTCACCAGATCGAATTTTCGCTAAGGCCCCGATGTCTAGTACAGGGGTCTTCCCATGCTTGTTTTTTAACTCGAGTGGACCGATGTTTGGCCTTTTGAGTCCGAATTTTCGCATGTCTCCTAGCATAAACCATGCGAAAAATAGCATGATTTTATCAACCAACCAAAGAGGGATCCATTTCATTAGTAACATTGCTAGCTCGAACGTTGATCTTCCCATGATTTCTCTTGGAAGAATATGAACCTGATAGAATAAGAAAAAAATGTACAAGTTTGTTTTAGTATACCACTCTAGTAAAAACTGTATTGTTAGTTTGTTACTGATAGAAAAAACATATTCTTTGGTTTCAACCATCCACTTAAACTTTTTAGTTAAGCGGCTGGTTGAAGACTTAAAGTCCAGAATTGGTTTATATATAAAGTTTTGAACTTACCGAGCTACGGCAGACCACGGAGGGTTCTGCATTGTGGTTCGATAAGTCGAGGGAAACTTCCATCCCGGAGTTCCCACACCCAACCACTAGGACCTTCTGGCCGCAGTAAGAGTCTCCGGACTTGTACTCACTCGAGTGAATCACTTTCCCGCCAAAGTTTGCTAGCCCGTCAATGTCGGGCACCACACACTCGGCGTTCTCACCGGTGGCTACTACTAGCCACCGGCACGCGTACTCGACTTCGGGCTCAGTTGGGCCTTGGCCCACAGTCTTGACCCGCCAAAGCCCGAATGTTTCATCAAATTTGGCGGATTGAACACACTCATTGAAGTGCGGGTTAATATCGAAGTGGTTTGCGTAAGACTCAAGGTAGTCAATAAACTGCCTTTTAGTGGGGTACTCGGGGAAAGATTCAGGGAAGGGCATTTTCGGCAATTGACAAAATTGTTTAGGTAGATGTAACTTAAGCCTGTCGTAGGTACGTTTTTGCCAAAGCGAGGCAATGCAATCGGCTCTTTCTAGAACAACAAATGGTACACCTTGTTCTTTTAAACAAGCCCCGACGGCTAAACCCGAGGGGCCGGCCCCGACTATTACGGGGCCATTAACCCACACGAATCGACGGGATAATAGATCATCTCCGTTATCTCCTATGTATGCTAAATTGAACATTTGATCCATTGCGCTTTTTTGCAATAAAGGGTGTTTGAATTATTTTTTTGTTGTTGAAGGTATTATTATTGAGTAGTAGTGAGTGTTTTTTTGCTATGTTTGTTGATGTTTTTGTTGTTGAAATGAGGTGGGTAAGTGGTAAGGTTTATATAGGGAATTAGGAGAGAGAAAGCATGTGAAATGGGTGAGAGTGAGTGACTTACAAATCATGAGCTATACTAATTCAAGGATTATTTTATTCTTCTGACTTACAATATATAAAGGTATAATTCTTGATTAAACAATATTATAGGAAAATAGTAATATTTTATTTTTTTAAATAATTTAGAAGGGTGCTCTTGGAAATCCAAGAGAATGTGACGGCTTTTAATACATTCTCTATCAAATTGTAGCTATTTGGTAGGGGGGGGGGAGAGGGTAGGATTCTAAATTGTAATTTTTTTAATTTCTAAATTATAATGAAATTAAAATTAATTAATTATGTTGGAAACCGAGTAAGCATATTATGGACCAATAGAAATGTGCCTCTTCGACACCACGAAGTTTAGGAATTTGACACGTTATGTACAATAATCTCAATAAAAATGAAAGAGTATGTTGTATGTTGATTATAATTTGGATTATAGGTACGTTGTCATTGTGATTAGTGATTGTTATACGAGTAGTTAAATTTGTAATAAACTAATTAACAAAGTGAAATGTCTAGTTGGAACTTTTTTAGTTTATTACTAGTTTACTACACAAAGAAATATATGTGTTTGATATTAAACGGTGTTAGTAAGATGTAGCTACACCTAATCATGTACGGACTACCACAAATATATTTGTAAACAAGATATACTTACATGTCATCTTTATATATGTTTGATATTATTGTAATAAATGAGATTGGTTGAAAATTTTGAATCATCTTAATATTGAACATGATTACAGGTAGCTAACTCTTGTACACATATACAGTATATAACGAACTACTCTTTCGTTTATGTTCATAACATAAGCTTAACTCTACATTCAAAAGCTCGTTGATTGTTGTAAAATTTGAGATTATGCAAATAAGTTTTGGGGGAGCTATGCTAGGGGTGAAAAGGAATGCAATAACATTATTGATAATCATGCCGACTTTTATATCATCGTGTGAACCATGGAAAATAGGCTATCCTTCAACTTGGGGTGATGATGCTTCCATCCTAAATTGCTAGACAAGGACTTCAATGTGATGTAAACTTGAAGAATTTAACTTAAACTTCAAATAGGAGTATAACAAGTCAAAATTATCAACCAATCTAATCCATACATACATCCACATTATAGATGCATATTCCTCTATATATCTTACTAGTCAAATTTGACCAAGCAAAATATATGTATGTTTGTAATTAAGATCCAAATTTGAACAAAATTAAATCTTATGAGCAACATATAGGAAATATGAAGAAGAATAGTACTACAAATAGTAAAATTTGATGATAGTCTTATATATACATCAAACGAAATATGGTAGGGAAAGTAAGAGATGTGGGTAAGGTCCCATTTAATTTGAGGTTCCATTATTATTATTCCCCAAAATGGAAAACGATTATTGTGTTGAATAAGTGAAGTCATTTCTTAGGTGGTGTTTGGGTCCAATTTAGTCAAAATTGGGCCTGGGCACTAAATGATCCAATTAAAAGCCCAAGGTCAAGGTTCAACTCTCCAATTGCTCAAAAGTCAAAGGTCAGCCCACAAAGTAAGCCAATTGGGCTAAAGCCCAACCTCTCCATGTATGATGAGGTATAAAAAGCCATCATATTGACACATTCAGAGGGATTCACATTCACATTCCAATTCATATGCTCATTCTTGCATTGAGAAATATTACACAAAAGCCTCAAGCTACAAACTCTCTTGCATAGTGTCTTCCTTTTACACATTGTACTGACTTTAGCATCGGAGGGGCCTTCCTCGGAAACACCCCCGAGGCTAGTTTACGTGTGTTCACTGTGCAGGAAACCTTCGGCCCAACACAACTTGGACCGAATCCAGTCTTCTCCATCTCAGCGGACCTTCGGCAAGGTCCCATTGTTTTCAACCGAAACAATTTGGCGCCGTCTGTGGGGAACGACTTTCAAAAATCTTTAAGCCAAATTCCTAACCAAGATCATCTTGCAATTATCTTAGCAGCCATGGCTAAGAACCGCAAGAGCAAAAGCCTCCGTCAAGGAGCGGGCGAAAAGCCTAAAACCCCTACACCATCGCCCTCGCCGGACCGGAACTCTCCCAAGGGTGCCGGCTCGGGGGGAGGATCACACAAGGAGGATTCCCTATCTCCTATAATGCATGACTCTCAATATAGGCCGGACCACTCTCGGTCTAGCAGGGGTCAGTCTGATCATAGGACATATTCAGTGTCCCAAAGCCAACCATCGGCTGCACGGCCTCATTACCACCCTCGGCCGGGGACCCCTTTGACGGGGCCCAGTTCGGAAGAGGTGGCAAGAGCGCTGGCAGTACTCATGGAGGCAATGAGGGCACAGAATATGCCACCGCCTCGTGATCAAACTCCTCCGCATACCCGGCATCAGCGGAGGAAGTTAGACCATGACGGTGGGAAGCTTCCTTCCTTCCGGGAACTGGAAGAGTGGGAGGAGGATTCTTGGAAAAATGAAAAACAGAGGAAGAAGAACTCTCAATTATTTAAAGGATCCTCATCCTCAAGACCAGCAGCGCATAAGAGCAGCAGCTCAGCTTCTCGGCCATAATCTACTCGCCGGGAACCCGAGACTGCTCGCAGAAGCGTCCTTGACCGACTCGGCGGCCAGGAACCGAGCGTGCGTAGTCGCCTCTCGTTCCCTGCAGCCGAGGCCCAGACTTCCCAGCCAGGGACGAAAACCACTCCTACCTCTCTAAGAGGGCGGAGCGCGGTCCCTTCGGCCAGGAACAAGGGCAAGGCCATTATGCTTCCCGCTAGTTCACCATTCGAGCAATGGATACTGGAAGAGCGCGTACCCACGGTTAAAATACCGTCGCATATCACATATGACGGGACCACGGATCCGAAGGACCACGTGGCCTCGTATGAGACTCATATGCATCTTTGCCCCAGATCCGAGGCGACTTGGTGCAAATATTTCCCAACCACTCTCAAGGGGGTCGCGCAAGCGTGGATCTCCAAGGGAGTAAGGCAAGGCTCCATAACAGGTTGGGATGATCTGTCCTCCAAGTTCAGGAGCAAGTTTTCCACGGCAAACCGCCGAGAGAAGACTACCGCAGAGCTCATGGGTCTGCAACAGGGGGAAACTGAAAGCCTCCGAGACTACCTGACCCGTTTCAGTAACGAGTCATCAAGCGTCTCTCAGCTGGACCAGGGGCTAGCTGTTTTTGCAATGCAGAATGGCCTTCAGCCAGGAAAATTCCTAGACTTCATGGTCATGCATACCCCGCAGACCTTGGAGGAAGCTCTTAGTGCTTCGGATAAGTTCATCCGAGCCGAAGAATGGAATAAAGCAAAAACCCAACCTCAATCCGGGGGAGGGAAACAGAGGCAAATACCTTTGTCAGAAGGCCAAGGCCATAAGGCAAAGGGAAAATCAAAGGCTCCGGAGCCATCTCCGGCCAGCGACCTAAAGAAGGACAGGTTTGCCTCATACACAGGCAGATATGAGTCCTACACTCCGCTCTCTCTTCCACGCGCCAAAATTTACAGTGTGACGAAGGAGGAGCAGAGTTACCGAAAGCCGAGACCACTCCCAGAGTGGTATCAGCGAAAAAATAAAAATCAGTGGTGTGAGTTCCACGAGTCTTCGGGCCACAACACTGAAGAGTGTATCCAGCTGAGGGACCAGATAGAGGACATGGTCTGGAAGGGATACTTGAAAAAATACATCGCGGATCACCGCGAGAAAAAAGAATCCGAGAGGCTAGCAAAGGACCCTCGGCAGGACCTTGATTTCCCCCGGAAAAACAGTAAAAAACCGGAGGGGAAATTCCCTCCGATCAATGTTATCTCGGGAGGAATATACTCTCGGAGGGAGCACAAGCGTCACCTTAGAGCTTTGACTCACCAGGTGAACAACGCTGACATTCAATCTCCCCAGTCGCCGGTGCCGAACATGACGTTCACAGCCGCCGACTGCCGGGGGATTACGTTCCCTCACGAGGATCCGTTGGTGATCATCGCCACGGTGGCCAACCACGACGTCAGTAAGGTCCTTGTTGACGGTGGCAGCGGAGCAAACATTCTGTTCCGAAAGGCCTACAACCAAATTAAGCTGAAGCCCAAGCACCTTACGCCGGTACCCTATCCGGTATCCAGGTTCAATGGGGCTTCAACTTATCCAGATGGGAAGGTGACACTTCCTGTCACCATCGGTTGCGATGAGGCAGCCCGGAACGTCATGATTGAGTTTTTGGTCATCGACGCTCCTTCAGTGTACAACGTGATTTTGGGGAGACCCATAATTCACGAGATCCAAGGGGTCGTCTCAACTTATCATCAGCTGATGATTTACGTCTCAGACGCCGGCTTCCCCGAAAGGATACAGGGCAACCAAAAAGACGCCCGAAGGTGCAACTACCTCAAGCCATCCAGTAGTCGCCCAGATGACGACAGGGATGAGGAGGAGAAAGAAAAAGAAAGAGAGCCAAGCACAAAAAAAGCCGAAAGGCCTAAGTGCTTCGGCCCAAGGATCCGTGCCCAGAGAAAAAGGTCCCGAAAGGGAGAAGGTTGACTCTTCAGCTGAGCCGCAAGACTCAGAGAGCCAGCCGAAGAGCACAAAGACTGGGACACCTGCTGACATTGGCAGCAGACCAGATTCTGAAGAGTCCAGTCCATCGGCAATGGACATGGACCAACAGACTGAAACAGTTGAGTTGGCCGAAGGAGATGCTGAGAAATGTGTAACAATCGGGATGGACCTTGATCCTAACACCCGTTGTGAACTTATTCAGCTCCTTCGGGATAACAGAGATGTGTTTGCTTTCTCGGCAGCTGATATGCCCGGGATAAGTTCAGACCTCATCTCCCATAAGCTTAATGTTGACCCAGCATGTCGACCAGTTAAGCAAAAGAAGCGGAATTACTCCGCCAATAAGAACCGAGACATCGCAGCCGAAGTCAAAAAATTATTGGAGGCAGGGTTCATTGAACCTTGCCAATATCCGGAATGGCTGGCAAATGTGGTGATGGTTCAGAAGCCCAATGGTACCTGGAGGATGTGCGTTGATTTCACGGACCTAAATAAGGCTTGTCCAAAGGATTTCTATCCCTTGCCGAGAATCGATCAGCTAGTCGATTCGACAAGTGGCCATGCCTTGCTTAGTTTCATGGACGCATTCTCGGGGTATCATCAGATCTTTATGCACCCCGACGATCGAGCCAAGACAGCATTCGTC